TATTTTAAAAAGATGTCTTATATGAAAGGTAAGCCAAATCCTGATGGCTCTGCAGCTATTGTCTGCAACAATGATTCTGAAGTACAAGGAGTTGTTCTTGTGACTTCAACAAATAGAAACCTCAAGGAGTGGGTTCTTGATTCAGGATGTTCATTTCATATGTGTCCTGTGAAGGAGTGGATTACTGAATTTGATGAGCTTAGGTGGTCAAGTCCAGATGAGAAATGATATGACCTGTAAAATTGAGGGAATTGGTAGAGTTAGTCTCTTACTTGAAAATGGCCATGTTCTTGAGCTTCCTTTAACCAGATATGTCCCTGAACTCCAAAAGAATCTTATCTCTTTAGGATAATTGGATAATAAATATGAAATCAAGATCCCTAAAGGATTCACTAAACTAAGTCTAAATTCAACAGAGATAATTTCTTCCTCAAAAGTGAATGGGATCTATACACTCCATGCTGAACCAGTAGTTGGAAAAATGTCTGTTGTTACTAATTCCCAAAATAATAAGACTATGATATGACATAAAAGGTTGGGTCATGCTAGTGAAAAAGGATTAATGATTCTCAATAAGCTTGGATGCTTTGGTAAAGATAATATTAAGAGTTTAAAATTTTGTGAAAACTGTGTCATTGAAAAACAAAATAAACTACCGTTCATAACTGGTATTCATAAATCCACATCTACACTTGACCACCTACATGCTGATCTATGGGGACTAGCATTAGTTAGTACTTTAAGTAGATTCAAATTTTACCTATTGATTGTGGATGATTATTCAAGGAAAATCTGGACATTCCTTCTAAAAATCAAATCTGACACGTTCCAAAATTTTAAGCAATAGAAGTTGATGACTGAGAATCAGACAAATAAAAGGATAAAAGCTCTTAGAACAGATAATGGACTTGAATTCTGTAATACAGAATTTGATCTTTTTTTTAAAGAATATGGTATTTTAAGACATAGAACCAGTACCTATACCCCTCAGCAAAATGGTGCTGCTGAGAGGATGAACCAAACCTTGCTTGAAAAAGTAGAATGCATGCTGTTGAGCTCTGGCCTTCCTAAGATTTTTGGGGTGAAGCCCTGAAGACTACAATCTATCTGATAAATAGGATTCCATCAAGTCCTATTGACTTTAAAATCCCTGAAGCATTGTGGTCAGGAAAATATCCAGACTACTCTAAACTTAAAGTGTTTAGCTGTGATGCTTATCTCACTAGAATGAAAGGAAATTAGAACCCAAATCCTTAAAATGCATTTTCTTGGGTTATGGTGAAGAATCTAAGGGGTATAGACTTTGGGTAAGGGAATAACATGGATTTAAAGTCATAATAAGTAGAAATGTCATCTTCAATGAAGATGTGTTCCCTTGTAATGATTCTAAAAATCAGGATCAATCCGAATCTGTCATTTTAAAAGAAATCCTTCTTGAAAGAAATCACTTTGATGAGCCCAATGATACTCTTGAGGTGGAGTCCTCACAATCTGAATTAGATCAACCTCAATCTAAATCTGAAAACGAGAACCACACCCTTATCCCTTCAGATTATTAGTTAACCAGAGATAGGGCCAGAAGAAATAGAATTCCTTTTACTAGAATTAATACTAATGAGTTTGTTACCTTCTATTCTGAAATGGAATCTATTAATTTTGAACCAACAACCTTTGAAGAAGTTGTTAACTATAGAGAAACTAAATTATGGATGGAGGCTATGAAAGAAGAAATGAACTCTTTAACCAAAAACAAAACCTGGGTTCTGTTTAATAAACCTAAAGATCAAAGGGTTGTTGATTGTAAGTGGATTTATAAAATAAAAGAATGAGATCCTACAGTTGGGAGAAAAAGATACAAAACTAGATTAGTAGCAAAAGGGTTTACACAGAGGGAAGGAATAGATTATAATGAAATCTTTTCACCTGTTGCAAAATATACTTCCATTAGAATATTGGTTGCCTTGTCTGCTCATTTTAATTGGAAATTAGATTAACTTTATTTCAAAACTGTCTTCCTAAATGGAGATCTTGATGAAACAATTTATATGAATCAACCAAAAGGTTTTGAACAGAATACCAAACCAAACCTGATCTGGCACATGGAATTAGTAATATTGAGTAGATAGATGGCCAATCCTGGTGAAACTCATTGGCTTGCTATAAAATGGATGTTTAGATATTTAAAGGGATCAATTGACTTAGGTCTAAAATTTGTATATTGCAATGAAGGGGTAATTTTTAAGAGGCTACTGTGATTCTGATTTTGCAGGTGATCTTGATAAAAGGAGATCTACTTCTTCTTATGTTTTTACTTTGTGTAATGGTTGTGTAAGCTGGAAATCCCAATTACAGAAACTTGTAGCCCTGTCTTCAACAGAGGCTGAATATATAGCAGTCTGTAATGCTGTGAAAGAAGGATTATGGTTGAAGGTTCTATTAACTGAAATTAGTTTTAATAATGAATCTGTTAATGTGTTTACAGATAATCAAAGTGCTATACACTTGAGTAAAAACCCTGTGTATCATGATGGAACCAAACATGTTGATATTAAATTTCATTTTGTGAAAAACATGTTTGAATCAGGAATAATAAAACTGATTAAGATTCTTACTGATTATAATCCATATGATGTTAGCACTAAAATCTTGCCTTTAAACAAGTTTAGGAATTGCCAAATAATTCTGAATATTGTTTAAAGACAGTAGAAAGTATAATCATTATTTCTCCTTTCTGTTTTCTAATTTCTTTTTTAATTTGCAGGTACTTTAGAGCAAATGAAATATGTTAATTGTGTTTTATTCCACTAGAATGATTCAATGAATAGTTCAGCAAGGTGGAGATTGTTGGACATGGGCTGGTGCTTCACTATTAATTGGACTCTAGCAATTGTTGATAAGCTGGACGTTCATTTGGGCCTCAAGCTAACCCGGTTCTTAAGATCCAAGATAAAAAACGTGTTTTTAGTTAACACGATTATGACTTCTCGTTACTATTAATTTTGGAACCGTTCATCTGACTTAAGCCTCAGCTGTTGGATCAGTGTGTTTTTGACGGAATATATATATTTGCCTTTCTCTATCTCTCCACGACGCTTAAGTTAGTCGTCTCTTGAACCTTCTAGGGCTCATCCGTTCTTGAGGGCTTTTTGTTCTCTCATACTTCATGTATTCTTCTCTGAAAATCTTTGAGTGTAGATTGTGAGATGTTAGTGTATGCAATCTTTGTGGAAATAGATTGTTAGTTTTGATTTGTATTTTGAAAGAGAGAGGCAAGAGAAAAATTGAAGAGACTTGTGTTCTCTTCAGACATTTGTACTGCTCTTGAGAAATTTCTTAGTGGAATCGAGCAATATCTACGTGTAGATGCTCAACGGGTGAGTAGGCTTCTGAGCTGAACATCTGGACCTTCGTGGCGAAAAATATCATGTTCATCTATATTTTCTGTTATTTTGTTTTTAATCTCTCAATATTTGATTTTGAGACCAACGCATATTTTATCAATGTTTATCAAAATTTATTATTATATTATTTTTGGAAAAATTTCATAAGTTAGAATTTAAGTATCCCACATTTCAAAATAAGAAAACAAGTTTCAAACTTCAAAAATCGGGTTTTTTAGTAAAATTTATTTATAATTTAATTAATTAATTAACTATTTTATTAATTAAATATATTTAGGTCACAAATCTATACAATTTGGTCACAAATTAACGATTTAATTAGTCATTTATCAATTTTTGTTCACAAATAAAAAATTTTTAAGTCAGAAATTATTTTATGATCTGAATTTCAAAATTTTATAGGTCACAATTTGTTCATCGATCACAAATAAAAAAATTTTATAAGTCACGATTTATTTATTGGTCACAAATCACAAATATTATAAGTCACTACTTATTATACAGTCACAAATTATCAGTCACAGATTATTCATAGGTTATAAATCAATTTCAGTTACAAATTAATTTATTAATTTTTTTAGTTACAAATATTATTTATTGACCAATTAATTTTTCAGTTACAAGTTAATCAATTGTGAGTCATAGTCAAAACTTTTAGGTCGATATTACAAATTAAATAATTATTGGTCACAATAAACCAAATAATTTGTCACAAAGCATCCAACCCCATCTCACGTAGTCACCGTCATCGCTGTCGCCACCAACCACACCATCGTCAAGCAGCACCACCACCTTTATCGCTTCATCGCCGCGACCACCTTCACCTAACTATCACCGTTAGCATCATCACCTCCATAACCAAACCACAGATCTAAAATCAAAAGGAAACCATTGAATCTCTGATTGAATCACTAGCATTATCATTGGCGATCCAAAATCAAATGCAAAATCACTGGCGTCATCGACAGCAACGAGCAATGCAGCACTAACAATTCTCCAATGGAATCAAAGCAACTGTGCTGAGAGAGGAACCAGAAGCAGCACCCACTAGTGCGAACGCCATAGTCGCATCATCTGAACTCCACCACTGGACCATCTCTGTCACGCGCTACCTGATTAGTGGAGCGACCATCATCCCAAACCTTAGCAAAACCTAAAAACATCATATTCTTCCCACATTGCCATAGTCTACCTGACCAACTAGGGCAATGCACAGAGAGTAATGGATTTAATTGGGGCACAAACAGAGTAAAGAGAGAGAGGTAGGAGAATTACAGGTTTGGGTAGTGGATAGAGTTTTGATATTATATTATCTTAAATTTTTAGTTTATTTAAATAACTAATATATAAAAAAAAATTGATTTTTGAATTGTAAAAATCCCAACCTGTTGAATTTTTAAGGTGGGGTTTGATGTAATTTCCACATTATTTTTTAGCTACAACAAAAAGGGGCTAGATTATGACTCCCCGTAGCCAAAGGAGGTGGGGAAGAAAATTCCATTAGAAGATTGTAACTAGGACTGTCAGCCAATAAAATCCAAGCAAACCAGAAGTCCACAGTAACGCACCATTGAGTGATGCAGAGAAACAAAAAATCTTAACTTTCGAAAGAGAGAAGGAACACGGAAATCTATCCTCTTATCCTAACCCAGAACCCAACAATCCAGTAGTCACCACCACACAAATCCCAAATTCTAAACCTCTAGAAAACGCATAAACTTTAAACGCTACAGCACACTCTTTATCAAACATGGCTGGACTACTGGGAACTTCTTCCACAGTAAGAATCTTCGCTTCTAAACCCTTTTCTTCTCAGTCTCACTACTCCAAGACTTCATCTTTCTCGCTCTCTCCGTCTTCTGGTACGTACCCGTTCTTGATTTCTTGGAATTTTGTTTGGAGCTTATATTTTCGCAATTTGGTAGTCAAATGACTCGGAGGTTTCAATATAGGGGTCTTTTTGAAGTTAAAGTTCGTGTTTTCTTGATTTTTATTGGGGAATTGATGAGATTTAATATATGGGCTTATGATGGGGGTTTTAAAGTTTATAGCTTACTGTTAATTTCTGCAGGGATTAGTCCGGGAAAGAAGTGTTTTGGAGGAATTGGAGTTAAGAAAGAGAGGTCTAAATTCCACGTTTTAGTTTCCAATGTTGCCACTGAAATTAACCCTGCTCAAGAACAGGTACTAATTTTCTTGAGCTTGGTACCTCTTGATAGTGTCCATGCATTGTGTGATTAAGTTGTGATGCAATTAGAATTAGATACGACCACTAGCTCTAGTTAATTGCAGGGATAGTAGAATTGCATGAAATGGAGAAGCCTGGCCTTGTAGAGATGTATAATTGGAATGAAATTCAAATGTTCATAGAATTTTTTTAGCATTCAAAATCGAAATTCAAGTTCCAATTCCCATTTCAATGGCTGAATCCCATCCTGCCTAACACGGACTTTGCTTATATTTGGTGTTTAAGTTGTACACTGGAAACCTTTTTACTTTCAGTGTAAGATTTTTGGATTGGTGTTTAAGTCAAAGTCTGACTTTCAGGCACAAAAGCTTGCCTCGAAGGAGTCCCAGAGACCAGTTTATCCATTTGCAGCTATAGTAGGACAAGATGAGATGAAATTGTGCCTTTTGTTGAATGTGATTGACCCGAAGATCGGAGGTGTGATGATAATGGGAGATAGAGGAACAGGGAAGTCCACAACTGTTCGCTCATTGGTGGATCTACTTCCTGAAATTAAAGTAGTTGCCGGTGATGCATTCAATTCAGATCCAGATGACCCAGAAGTACAGGGCATGGAAGTTAGAGAAAAACTTATGAAAGGTGATGAACTCCCTGTCATGTCAACCAAAATCAACATGGTTGATTTGCCATTGGGTGCCACAGAAGATCGAGTATGTGGGACAATTGACATTGAAAAAGCCCTTACTGAGGGTGTGAAGGCGTTTGAGCCTGGCCTTCTTGCAAAAGCTAACAGAGGAATTCTTTATGTAGATGAAGTTAATCTTTTGGATGACCATCTAGTAGATGTTCTCTTGGATTCTGCTGCCTCGGGATGGAATACTGTTGAAAGGGAGGGAATCTCAATATCACATCCTGCCAGATTCATACTCATTGGTTCTGGAAATCCAGAAGAGGGAGAACTTAGGCCACAGCTTCTTGATCGTTTTGGAATGCATGCACAAGTTGGGACTGTGAAGGATGCAGAGCTTAGGGTGAAAATTGTGGAGGAAAGAGCACGATTTGATAGAAATCCAAAAGAATTCCGGGAATCTTACAAGGCAGAGCAAGAAAAGCTCCAGCAACAAATTTACTCTGCTAGGAGTTCTCTCTCTGCTGTTACAATCGATCATGACCTTAGAGTTAAAATCTCGAAGGTCTGTGCTGAGTTGAATGTTGATGGATTGAGAGGAGACATAGTGAGCAACAGGTCCGCGAGAGCTTTGGCTGCTCTTAAAGGAAGAGATAAAGTAACTACAGAGGATATTGCCACCGTCATCCCCAACTGCTTGAGACACCGACTTCGTAAGGATCCTCTGGAATCAATTGACTCGGGCTTACTCGTGATTGAGAAATTCTATGAGGTTTTTGCCTGAGGGAGGTAAATGGTCCTTATCTCTCTCATTTTTTTTTGTAGAACTGCTAATACTGTTCAATTTTTTGGCGTTAAATGTTCAGTTCTCAAGTGACTACAAAGAATACAGAGAGCTCAGTCAATGTTTGTCATGGGCTTATAATTGTTGAAGCTTGATTTTATGTTGAACAAAAAGGTCATTTATATTGGAACAAATAGCTGATTTGAAAAGGTTTAGTCACCAAACATTTAATGCATCTTCATGTTGTAAACTTCTAACATTTGTACTTGCGTGTTTTCTTCTTGAGAAATCATTTCATCTGAGCTCCTCCTGTTAATTTTCTCAATCGAACATGTTATACCATCAACTAAAAATCTTTTTATACTGTTAGTCTCAAGTTTCTTATTGGGACGTACTTCTTTTGCCTTATCAGATATGGGAAAGTGATATAGGACACGAGACCAAGAGCAAAGCATTTCTTTTTTACCTTAAAAAAAGTTGCAAACAGAAATAGCTGAAATAACCATTTTGCCTCTTGATAATATGGTTGAATGGCACTACAAATTTGTTTAGCATTGGGGAATTTGCATCAGTGTAGTCTGCTAATATCGTGTCGAAGTTATATGGTCTGGCAAAATGTGAAAGTTGATCATTTCACTAGTCGGCATTGTTTAAAATCTTTCGCTTTGCCATGTTCATCTAAAAATTTCAATCAGTGGGAGAGAGTTTGTAGGGAGGAAACTATAGGAGGGGGATGCATGGTTGCGAAACCCTCGTTTGTAAATCAATTTTTCCTGGTTTGTATCAGAAACTAAATCTTTTACCAGTTAGTATTGGATGTGTCTTATCTATTACTCTACATTGGCGTAGACATGAACACGATAGTACATGCTTATATTCTACACTAAATCAATACGTGCAAGCATTTGTAGTCGAAATATTTCATCTGTTTCTTAGACATGGAAATAGAAGAATTTACACTGGCTTTACCAAATTTTTGCTGTGTACAAGAAGTAACAGAAACAAAATGTGAGCCTTAAATCGCAGTGCGTTTCTTTCTGACCCCAAAAATAAAAAAAACACACACACCCATTTCACAAAGTTTCATTTCTTGACAACCAAAAAAGATTAATCAATTAAAAATATAATTGGTGGTCTCGTAGCTCAGTTGGTTAGTGCGTTGGTCTTATGAGCCGAAGGTCGCGTGTTCGAGCCCCGCCGAGACCATCGTACTAATTATATTTTTTTATTATTTTAAATTGTAACTAAAATTGACACTTCTCAACAATTCCGTTTCTCCTCTTGTACCACCAAACAAAATGAACTTTTGCATCCTTATCCATACCAAAACATTATTAATCAACAATCATAATCATTAAGTGCACTACCCACTAGAAAATATTTTAAAAAGTAATAAAGACTTTGAAATTTTTTGATATCCTTGAGACTTTGCTATTAGACCATCTCCAATGAGGCATTTAATTTAGTGTAGGTCATTGGCGATGATTTGACACCAAATTTTACTTTGAATTATTTAATTATAAATTATATTACTACAAAAATTGTTAAATTAAAAATGATACGGAAAGAAGCAAATTATTGCATTTATCAATAAATTAGAAAAAAAAAACATTAAACATGATACCGCAATTTAAAAATTACATTGAACTAATAAGAATTTTTTTATTTAATTTATATATTTATGTTGTTGTAGTGCTAATTTATTAATAATCAAATTTGTAATTCTTGACTTTTTAATGAACAATTTTAATTTATTGTTGAAATAATTATTCATTATTAATTGATTAGAATTTAATAATGTTAAATAAAAATAACCATCACATTAAAACAATTATAAATCAATTAAAATCTACTAATTCTAAAATATAAAAGAGAGTATAGATGGAATAAACATTTATTGTAGAGTGAAAGAAATGGCAAAATGGGGTTTTAGAAAATTCTCAAATTTGGGGTGTCATTGAAAAGGGTTTTACCCCAAATTTGATGTTTTACAGTTTACACCAAATTAAGCCCTTACTGGAGATGCTCTAAAGTCTACTAGTTATTCTTATTTCCATTTTATGCCTTTTGAATTAGCGTTTCAATTTTTTAAATATATTTCTTTAAATATTATTTATTTTGAGATAAAATATCATTTAATTTGTCTGTCATTAATATCCCTTCTTATTCTATCAATTTTAATACTAATATTCTTATTTTTTGCATTAATAATTTATTTCATGAAGAGCATATAAACAAGTGTAAGTAAATCTTACACACTGTTTCTTGTATAATGTATATTCACACAAGTCATATTAATTGCCAAATATGGATAATACCCCCATAAAGCTACGAGCAGAACACCTACCAGAGACCCAATCTTTAGTGAAATAAATACCTAATCTTGCAAAAGTAAAAGATTATATTCCATTGGCTTTATTTCTTTGAAGGTGCCATTGCCACATGCATGAAAAGTTCAATTCATGATTGTTGATGGGATAAAGAATGAACGAGAATCCATTCTCCCTTCATGTCTATGGCCATGTCTCTATTTTCACTTAGAGTAATGCTATTTGTAGTCGTTCATTGCGGTAATCGCTCTACGTGGCATACACATGGCAAGTGATTATTTGATGCATTAATGTGGTAGTTTTTTTTATTCATTAATGCATCAAATAACCACCTGTCATATGTATGCCACGTAAGGCGACTGTCGCAGTGAGCGACTATCGCAATGAACAACTGCAAATAGCATTATTCATATTATTATATATGTTCCAAGCCAAGGTGAAAGTCAAAGTCGAGTTTTAAGTGGTGAGAATGAAGTCTTACCGAGTAAATGATGGATGAAATCATTTTATCCCTTGTCAAATTAAAAAAAAAAAAGGGTAATACAAAAAATGACGACAATTTAAAAGAAAACTCGCAATTACCGTAACACCAAGGTGAAAGTCAAAGTCGAGTTTTAAGTGGTGAGAATGAAGTCTTACCGAGTAAATGATGGATGAAATCATTTTATCCCTTGTCAAATTAAAAAAAAAAAAGGGTAATACAAAAAATGACGACAATTTAAAAGAAAACTCGCAATTACCGTAACATGCAAACTTAATGGAGATCATCTCTACGATATACATAACAAAGAAAATCATACTCCCTGCAAACTCCCAATCACTCACATTGCTTGACTTTCCCTTTTTGTAATTTGTCCAGGCGCCAGAGTTCAGGCATCACTGTCAACAAGAAATTCGCACGTGTCAGTCTTTTGATAAAAAGAAAAAAGAGAGTTTGGTCTGCACGTGAAGAGATGTGTTGAATACTACAAATAAATACAGATAATTAAGCTAAAAGGTGAGATGATTTAACGAAACGTACTAAGGAAGAGGACTATTAGCCAGGAAGTCTTCAAAATGCGAAAATGGCGTACCACAAGATGGCTTCGCCTTCATAAAAATTGAATTACTCTCCATTTCCCCTACTTCAATTGGCGCAGTAGTAATTTCTGATATTTCTTGACCAGAGAGGCCGATGCTTGAAAATTGGGTGTTCGACAGACCATAATTCATGGGAGGACATTCACTGGACTGAAGGGGTTCCCTTTGAGAAGAGAACTGATTTTTTTGGCCATTATCATGATTCCAAGTGAACAGTTTTTGGATTGCAGCCATTTCCGAATCTGTATCCAAATGTGAAGGAGTTGACATGGAGAATAGGCCTTGTTCGTAACCAGAGATAATAATCGAGTCATCCGGGAGATATTGGCTAGAACAATGAAGGCTTTGGCCTTGAGTTTTGCTTTTCAGGTTGTTATGATAAATGGGATTATCCTTCCAGACTTCTTGGCACTGAATTCCAGATTCGGACGTCGAAAAACTGCCATCAGGTTGCATCTGGTGACAAAATGTATCCCTTTGGCTATGATCTTGAAATCCTTCCCCTGCTCGGTGATCATCTGACTGCATGATAATTGCAGCATTGTTATCTGATTGATCAAGTGCATCAATGGCGGATTTGGCCTCCTCCATCAGCCAATCGAGGGCCTTACTCGGACGATCATAGCCAAGCCTATCTTGCACATCATAAAATTGAATTGCAGTATTTGGTGACAGTCTAACACGTCTGTCTTTAGGCCCCCTTTTGGTGCATACCTTGCTGTGCCTATCCTTTCGTCCAGTGGGTCGAACAATTCGTCCTCCATGGACATCTTTTACCTCTCTTTTCCTTATTTTCAGCTTCAATTTTGATGATGCCTGATGAAAATCCTCTTGCATTTTCTCTTCAAATGGATAATTCTGTGCTAAAATTCCACTAGTTATGAATCCAGTTTTCAGCAGTTTCTTTATTACCCCTTTTAGCGAGTGGAGCGGCTTTAGTTAGTTCTTTGTGTAGGTACAGAACAAGAATGTGCGATATTGGGCCCTCTAATGCAGGTCAGAATCAGAAGCCTACAGACTGTTTCTAACAGTACCAAATGCAAAAAGCATTCACTGTTTATGGAGAACGGAAAAAAGTTAAAATCTCTTGCCTCAAATTGTTCGATTTTATCTAATATTGCGCGCCAAACATATTTTGACTGTATAGATTCCTAAGTGTGCCAGCATAATAATTAAATAATCAAACATGTAAAACGATTGAAATCGAGCATGTTTGTTGCACAAGAATTACGGGACAATGATCCTTAATTTTGTTCATTGTTGTCCAATTTAATATAAGAACCCCACTAATAATTGAAGGGGGGAAAAAACATAAAAAACAAAATCACTGCAGACGAACAGTAACGATTTGATGTCTGCATGTGAACACTGTCTCGCGAACTGATTTTACCTATTTCATTTTCACTTGCTGGGATTCACGTTTCAATTTTGTGATATTTTATTTTATAACATGAAAAATTTATGCGATTGATTATAAATTTAGAGCCTATTTGGAAGTAATTTTGAGAATTCATTTTTTTATCGTTAGGAGAAAAGTGGGGTCCACTGTGAGAGAAGAAGTCAAATATGACGACTGAAATGATGAAATAATGATCAAAAAATCAATTTTTTTTATGAAAAAATTGGGCCCAAACAAGCTCTTATTGGCACAATCGTAGTTTACTGCCGTTGTTAAAAAGAAAAAAAATCTGTATTTAGTTGCAATTCTTTCTATTGGACAACGTCACGTCAACCAAACAAATTACCCACCAAGTCATTAATTGATAATAACTAGGGGTGAGCGCGGGTCGGTTCGATTTTAAAGAGAACCGAACCGAACCGAACCAAAATTTTCAGGTATCTAGTAAATGGAACCGTCGGGTCCAAATATAATTATGGAACCGTTCGGGTTCGGTTCCGTTCGGTTATTTAATATAATTAAATTTTTTAACATTCATAACAACATTATATAAATACAACTAATGATACATTCAATGGTTTGAAATTTCAAAGACTACTAGATTACCTTATTCAAATGATCGTTACGGTCAAAGTTTCGGTCGACGAAGGTCACAGTTTCGATCGGAGGTCACAGCGTCAGCTGACAATTGTATAGGTTTTGGAATGTTAACGAGGCTGCGAGAGTGAGTGCGAGAGTTGAGACAACGTTATGCACTTTAGTGTAGGTGTTTATGGTTATTTAGTGGATTGAATCTTGTTGGGCTAAGAAATGAAACAATAAAATTGGTAATTGGGCCAAAATTTTGGATTTAGAAATTGTTAATTTGTTAATTTGTTTAGAAAAAAATTAAATTAAAATAATTTAATTTACTCAATATAAAAAAAAAATTAAAAAGATTCGATTCTTATTCGGTTCTTGGTCTAAAATCGAGAACTGAATCGTACCCGTCGATTCTCAATTCAAATACCCGTTCGGGTATTTAATTTGACAAGAACCATCGAGTTCGGTTCAGTTCGATTTGGTCGGATCAGCTCGGAAGATTTGCCCAGCCCTAATAACAACAAAAATCGCTGTGCAGAAGTGAAGATTAATTAATCAGCAAAATATTAAGAATAATAAAAGAAAATCTAATCCTAAATCCAGATAAAATTTTAGAGTAAAATTATCTTTACAAGCCTACTCAACTGTTTTTCTGCCTACAATTGAGAATGGTCCCTGCAATTTATCGAGTTAATTGTTTGAATACTCACTGAACTTTAAAGGGCGTCACGTGTCACTCACCGAACTTTACTTTGCACCCAATTACTCATTGAACTTTGGAAGGGCGTCACGTTTCACTCACTGAACTTTACTTTGCACCCAATTACTCACTGAACTTTGTAAACTTGCACTCCATCACTCATCGGGTTAAAGAGTTAATTGTTTGAATACTTATCGAACTTTACAAGACGTCACATTTCACCCACTCAACTTTATTTTGCACCCAATTACTCACTGAACTTTGTAAATTTGCACTTCATCACTCACCAGGAACCGTTTGTTCTGTTTGCCTATGTGGATGACGGCTTTAACACGTGGCAGTTAAATTAGACAAACATAACAATGAATTGCCAAATCATATATTCAAAAGGACCCAAACATGCCTCACTGTTTTCAACACATAAATCGCGATTGGAACCCTAATCTCTTAAAATAGGCCGCTAATTTTTTAGTGAATGAAACGTGACGCCCTTCCAAAGTTCAGTGAGTAATTGGGTGCAAAGTAAAGTTGAGTGGGTGAAATGTGACGTCTTGTAAAGTTCGGTAAGTATTCAAACAATTAACTCTTTAACCCGATGAGTGATGGAGTGCAAGTTTACAAAGTTCAGTGAGTAATTGGGTGCAAAGTAAAGTTCAGTGAGTGAAACGTGACGCCCTTTAAAGTTCAGTGAGTATTCAAACAATTAACTCCAAAGTTCAGTGAGTAATTAGGTGTAAAGTAAAGTTCAGTGAGTGAAACGTGATGCTCTTTGAAGTTCAGTGAGTATTCAAACAATTAACTCCAATTTATCCGTAAACTTATTAGATGAAAGAAAAAATCGCAGAACTCACGAGTTTAACAATCTTCCGAGGTTTTCTTCCTATGAATTCTGACAGCTTTGAGAGATCCCAGAAAATCAGGATCTTAGCTGGACGGTTCCGACACCATAAATCTGACCCAAATTTTGATATCCCAAATGACAAAACCACGAATTCAAGAATTCAAGACCAGGTACAAAATTCAGAACCTATAAAGCACACGAATGCGGTTCCATGTGAAAGAATCAAACCCAACAGAGCTGTAGTATTGATCCGTCTGTTTGTTGGCGAAAAGGGTGATTTGATCCACTTAATTCTAATAAAATGTTCTTGCAAACTTCTCTTTCCGGTTAGCATTTTAATTAATTTCTTGATGGATATATATATATTTTTTTTTTGGTAGGATCCCCAACCTTTAGGGCTTCTAGAAAATCCCAACCTTTAAAATCGAACTTTTCAATTTCCATCCTTGAGTTCCATTTGTATAATTCATCATTTTTACATAATTTTATTAACAATATCATTAAAAATTTCCTCGCATGGGATGTACTTCAAATTTTTGATCGAATACTTTATTGCTTACATCAAATGCCTCTAGCTCTCCTTTCTCTATCAACTACCATTACATTGTAGACGGTCAACTATCATAGCAACGTAGACCATTGTTGGACTCCCGAGCCAAAAATCCTAGCTTCGCCCCTGATCAGAAGTACTCTGAGAGATTACTAATTTTGAATGTAGGGAGACTTGTTCTTTGTGTTAACTGACGGAGGCTTAAAGAACACACTTTTAATCAGTTTCATGTATAATTTCCATTGGACATTGTGGAGTCTAATCATAGTATATGCTTACGTTTATTGTCTGTAAGAAACCAGAGATCATGTTGTACTCCTCTATCTATGATATGAAATTGAAAACTTGCAATGGTAGAATGGGTGTAGTTCTCATGTAGAGAGCGAGCAACTAAAAACTCGTTTCTTAATTTCATTCTCTTTTTCTCGTAAAGAGGGATTAAGGCTTAATTTTTAACCATTTCGAGACGGAGAGAGAGCTCCGAAAATGTCGAAGAAGCAGTTCTTGTACTCTTTTGGCTTGCTAGAAATATTGCTAAAATTGCTGTTCTTGCTTTCACAAAAGATATTAAGAAAGACGGGACACCAATGGCATCTGATATTTGTTGAATGCTAGTCATAAGAGGTCCAGAGAGGAAGATCAATACAGCAATGCCCAATACTAGTTTGCTCCATGTCATTGATTTAGAACTTCCATTTTGCTTAACTTCATAAGCTAAATTGTCAACTTGTCGCCCACATTATCTGCAAATAGAAACAAAACGACTGTAATTATTATGGATTATACCTTAATCCCTACTGTGATTCTGTGAAGAACAATATTTAAGAGAAACCGAAATCAGAAGCAAATAAACTGATGTATAACGGTCGCAGCTGCAGGTTTTCATTATGAAGAATAAGAAGATTGCATTGATAATTTTATGCCTCAGATCTGTATCTCTTTGAAACAGTCCTCTAAATAACTTTATATATGTAGGAATATTAGGGCAATCCAACATATTTATAAATGCTTAATATAGCCCTGAATCCAAAATACACGTTATGAATCAGGTTTATCAGTTCTGTGTTATAAATAGGTAAATTTCTAACATAGCTGTGTTAAATGGCAAACATGGAAGAAATTCGATATGGTAATAGAAGAGGTGATTTGACGGCACTTCAACGAAACCTCACAGAAGATTGGAATTTTTCGGAACTTGATTTCTCGTCTATGGAAGAATAAATTCCATAAATCACTTACTCCATGTAAACAACGAATAAAATCTGGACAATGGTCGTTTCATTATGGATCCACGATAAAAATCTTACTTTAAAGAGGAACTTTTACGTACTTTCAACGTTCCCACCTAAAGAAACCTTGAAATCTCCAAGAATTCGACACTGTGGTATGTCATATCGAATCCTTGGTGCTAAAATTTTAATAAAATTTTGCTAAGAATTCATCAACTTTTCAACTGGTCAAACTTCAATTTTAACACCTCATTTCATAAAATCGACAACTTTTTAACCACACTACATTAACTTTTATAAAAATCTGCTAAAACTTTTATCCAAAGCTTTTCAATTGAAAAATGTCCCTCGGTGTAAATGAGTAGGAGCCATCAAATCATCATTGCAAGGAATTACGGGTCTTTAAACACAACTACAATTACATCAATGCCAAAAACCGAAGTAAAAAAATTAATCAACTCATGTTTTATTTTTTTTTAAGTGCAAATCTTTATGCTACAAGACTTATCCGTAGCTCCTTCCCCTTCCCCTCCCACGTCCACCACGACGCCTGCTCCTGCCACTGCCTCTTGAGCCACTTCTCCCTCCATAAGATACGCCTTCAAATGCCCTATTAGCATGTTGGTTTTGCATATTGCCAGCGCCACGCCCCTTTTTCAAAGTACTATTGCCAGCACTATTAAGAGCATCAACAGGACGCTTCCCCCTGCAGATGAACATACAGCAAGAAGACTGAATTTGTTTCCTCTCCGGAGAAAGCTCCAAATTAACATCATGCAAGATACAGTGAAAGAAAAACTACGTATACACAAGGCATTGTAAGAAATAAAGGGTTTCCATTAGAACTGGCATTAAAGCAACTGAAG